ACACAGGCAGGGTTGTGACACTGAGGGGACAGGCAGGGATGTGACAATGGGACCGGCAGGAATGTGACACTGAGGGGACAGGCAGGGCTGCACTTTGCTTTTTCCCTGTCCCAGGTGCAGCAGGAATTCATCCTCAGCCCTCCCCAGATCAAAGAATCCCTTCAAACTGCACCGGGGATTCACAGAGCTCAGCTGAGGCTGCTTAATGGAGCCTTTATGGAGCCAGGTGGAAAAGTTTGGCAAGGAAAGTGCCCTGCCAATGTCTTCATCTTCCACCTGTCTTTCCCATCTCCTTTTCCAGGATTTCCTGCTCCCCACCTTTCCCTTGGTGTTCCCATTCCCACCCCAGGGATCCCACCAGGACTTTCTGCTTTAATGAGGGATTTAATGGTAGCCCAGCCCTGGGTGTGAAGCTCATGGCTCAGTTTATTCTGAATTTTAACACAAAAGCTCCTGCGTGGCTCCACAGCCACGGGGGCAGTGCTGGATCCCTGGGCTTGGGGGCTGAGGACAGCCCAGAATTTGGGAGATTCCTGCTCTGAGTCCTGGTGGAAGATGCCCAGCCCTGGGAGAGGTTTGGGTTGAAATCCTGCTGTGTTTGGAGGGATTCCCACCAGAGTGAGGGCACGGATCTGGATTCTTTGCCCTGGTTGGTTTTTTGTCTCCTGTCCCACTGCTGGGCAGGGTTTGTGATGCTCTGGGTCCCTGAGCTGATCCCGCCTGCCCTGTGTTTTCCCAGTCCTGCTGGATTGATGGCATTGTGGCATCTTTGGGGCACAAAGGCTGTGAGAATGCCCCAAATCCACTTTGGCTCCCTGGCTCCGTGGGGCTGGAGCGAGGGGAAGCTGTGGAAAATCCTCTCTGGTTCCAGGTTTGTTGATCCAGGGGGATTTTCCTGCCTTTTATTCCTGCCTTTGCCACCAGCTGCCTTGGGGACACTGGGCCTGGCTGCTGTCCCCGGCTGAGCCACTGCAGAGCTTTGAGATCAGAGTGAATTTGTCACTGCAGCCGGGTCCTTGGCAGGAATCCTCCCTTTTCTCACTCCTGGGATCAGCTGAAACCAGGCTCTGACCCTGCCCTGGGTGGGCAGGAGATCCTAAATCCCTAAATCCCACCCTGAGCTCGGGGCAAGCTGCTGAAGGGCTCCCCTGCAGCTTGGAGTGCTCTGTAAATCCATGACAAAGCCTCCAGACCTGATCTGCACAACACAAACCCATGGAATAAATCCCTTTTCCTGCACCTGGGGCTGCCTCAGCTGTGTCAGCTCCCCTGAGCTGTGGGATCCTGGCAGGATCTGGGGGCTGAGCTCTGTCAGGGCTCTGTTTGCCGTGGGGAAATGATAGCTTAACGTGAGCTGACAACATAATTCTCCTGAGCCTCTCCCTGTTGCCTGTGTTGCCACGTTGGGGCGTGTGGTTGTTTTTTAAAGGAGGTGGCATTTGAAATATGAGGTTTGACAGCCGTGCTTAAGCCTGACATGACAGCCCTCGTTCTTCTTACTCACAGGCAGCTCAGATTTACACAACCCCCAGGGACTGGTGTCTGCAGCACAGGCAGCTCCTTCCTCCCTCCTGAGGAGGGGCTGGGGGTGGCAGAGCTGGGCAGCAGCTCCTCGTCAGGGCCTTGGAGCTGAGGAGAGGAGGTTTGGGTTGGAAGTTGGGAAGGAATTCTCTGGGAGGGTGTTGGGATGCTGGCACAGGTGCCCAGAGCAGCTGTGGCTGCCCCTGGATCCCTGGCAGTGCCCAAGGCCAGGCTGGGCAGGGCTGGGAGCACCTGGGACAGTGGGAAGGGTCCCTGCCACGGTGGCACTGGATGGGCTTTGAGGTCTTTTCCAGCCCAAACCATCCCTGTGGCTCTGAGCATCCTGCCAAGGGAATTTTCTGGGCTTCTGGGGGCTGCTGGGCAGAGCTGGGCTCACCTTCCCCACAGCATCCTCCTGCTGCAGCCCTGGGCTCCTTCCACTGCATCCTGCACCTGCTTCTCCTTTGGGATTTCAGCTTCCAGGGGGTCTCACCACTCCCCTTGTGTCCCCAGGTGATGCTGGCAGCGTCCTACTGGTCCCTGCTGGCCCCGGCCATCGAGCTGGCCGAGGAATCCGGGGCCTTTGGGGCCTTCTCCTTCTTCCCGGTGGCCGCGGGCTTTGCCCTGGGGGCAGCGTTCGTGTACGGGGCCGAC